TAAAAGATTATAATAGTGACATCCCTATTTTTACGGCCAGAAAAGACCGATTTGTTTATGTTTTGTTTAATAATCAGAGTAACATTTTAAATAAAAGAGTTGCAGAATTTGTTCCCAAAACAAAATTTAACCTTTATTTTAAATTGATATTTTTAACATGCCGAAACAGAATTGGTCCGTTAAAAATCCATAACTTATTCATCCGACGTCCGTTTTCGTCTGTCTTTTTACCGTTATGCCACTATTGATGAGATCTTCGATTCTCGTTTGTGTTATGTCGGCTAAAAACCGCTCGATCTAATATTCGAACTCCGGGCTGTACAGTGCTAAGTCGAAACTTCGAAAAATCATAACTTCCTCTTGTGGCCATGGAGGTTCGCCTGCAGTGACTCCAGGGCATGAGGCAAAGCTTTATGTTTGCAGCGGGGGATTAGTCGGTGCGCGAAAGCTGGCCCGGAAACCCTCGTTAGGGAAGTTCCCTTTCCAAAAAAAATCATAACTTCCTTATATGAAGTCAGATTGGGCGTTCTTTTTATGGATGCTCTCGGTTTAACGTATTCTACGACTTTTGTTAAGATCGCTAAGGCTAAAAACGCTCTATCGTAAATTCACTATTTACGCTTCCCGGTGCCGTGCCGATTCCATCGCGAAACTTCGACGAGTCATAACTTCTTCGTTATAACTTGGATTTCGGCGTTCTTTATATATCTGAAATCCTTGTTTCGACCACTACAACTTTATGTAAAGATATCGGGCTCATCTCATACTTTAATTTTGACGCTTATTTTTATTATATCTTTATAAACAAATAAATAAACACATAATACTCAAATATTTCATTTTTATTACTTCAAAAAAGTTACAATAGTTGACCTAGACTATTACATCATCTATTAATTCTTTGCCCTTACAATAACATATAAACTTATATCTAAACACATGTATAAAACATTTAATATGATAAAGGCAAATTTCTAGTTTTTTGACTTTTTTGTCCATGTTTTTAGAAAAATTATAGAAAAAATCATCGTAAGCCGAAATTTGGATCCGTAAACTCCCAAAGCTTAGAAAATGAGTCTAATTTGTTCATAATATTTTTTCCTGACCTTAAGTGGTTCCTAATCAGAGTGAAAACATTCATTTTTACGGGGTGGTCTGAAAAAGTTCTGAAATGATAGACAATTTTGTAAAAATCACCCTAAATTGTAGAAAAATTGTATGAACACGTGCAAGTAGTCCTTAAAAAGGTATAGACCTGAACTATTTAAATATTGAACTGTTTTGAAATATATGAAGTTTAAGTAGGGAAAAACAGTCGTTAAACTTACCACAACTTTTCTGTAGAAAGCTTATTTTTATGCTTAGATATGTTTTAGTGACATATCTTGTATTTTTAGTTTGAAAACTCTTTAGATCATCCAAATAAGATTTGTTTACTTGTATTCCCCACCCTCCTAAAAACTTAGATAAACTCGTAAATGAAGGGGTATGAACTCACCTTGATGTTTTCGTGTGGTAGGGAGGAAAATGAAGAAGGTGTCGAGCCTAGGACGAAGATGATGATCTTGATGAATCTTGTTGGAAAAAGTTACTGTTCTAGGGGTTTTAACACACGGAAAATATGTGTAAATATGATGATTTCAACATAAAAATACGTACAAACATTAGGGTAGTTCGAAAATACATACCAAGTTGCTAAGAACCACTTGATGTACACAAATCCTTGAAATTACTCGGCCGATTTTTTTTTGGAGAGAATTAGTGAGAGGAGAATGAGATAGCTTTTCAACTCCTTGGGTGGTGGAAAAATGGCCACTTGGCCGTGATTTTATGGTGGTGGTGGTGGTGGTGGGGGGGGGGGTGAGTGATCCTTTTTATCTTTACATGAAGGTCGCTCAAGTGTCTTGTATGGATGCATGGTGGTTCATAGAGTGCCATGCATGGAGGTTTGAAGGGAAAATGCATGAGATGTGTGAATGTTTAATGGTTAATAAGAAGTAAAGTAATAAGGTGTCAAAGTTGGGTCAACTTTTAGGTCTTTGCACCCAAACCGTTTTCTTTAATTCAAAGGAGGGGTTTTCCGGTGTTTAAGGTGGCCGAAAACACGCAACACACACTCAAGGTTTTCGGCTTTCAAGATGTCGGCTCTCGGGTTTACTATGGCCCATTAAGGAGGGTTTTCGGCCTCAATATGGTCCAAAGAAAAATGGGTTTTCGGCTTAGAGTTATTTGGGCCGATAACTATTAAGCACAAGCCCAAAAATTGATTTATGTTTAGCTATTAGATCAAACTTGGGTTTATAAAAAGGCTATTGCAACTTGATTCTATGTGTATGCATATATGTACTCATATAACATTATCATTTTGAATTACAATAATCCATTTCAACAAGGTTACATAGAGAAATTGTTTGTACATGAAATAAATCTTGACTCTAATTTTACTAGTTGTGACACCCTGTTCCCGCGCCCGCCCCCGAAATGTTCTGCCTTCCTACCCGCGCCCCCCGAATCCCCTTTATTACCCCCTCCCCCGCCCAGAATTGATTTTGGGCTGTTCTTTTTAGGGCTAAAAGAAGTTGTTATTTAGGTTAAAAGAAACTTTTTTAAGTAACAAATAATTATTTATAGCAGACTTTTACATGTTAAAGATAAAAAAGTTATGACATCTTAAAAATATTATACTAACAACTTAAAAACATGTTTTTTTTGATGAATTTTAGAAGCTGAAAATAATGTTATTATTTATTATATTTATATAATTAATATATGTAAGTATATGCTTAATTTATTAACATGTCTCCATGGGGGTTTCAGGATGAGATTGTCTACTCACGTCCCCGTCCCTAAAATTAAAATCGGGGTTAACCGTGCCCCCGTTCCTGGTTTTTTTTTTAAAATTCCCCCAAACAGGATGAGGCCTCCACGTGAACGAGGTCCCACGAAACTTTTTGACATCCCTGAATATTATGTTGGTGGATTTTAAACTCCAAATATAATATATTTTACACTATTTAATATAGTGTAAAGTTTCACCTCCTTAACTTTGAACTTATTCATTTTCACATTATTTTTTGTATAATTATAGTTTTGTTTAACAATGTTACTTGTGTTAATAGACTTAATAAGTTAAAATAAAATTATTCAGACATACGCGTGTGTCTCTTAAATGTTTCAAAACTATAGGGACCAAAGTGGCAACTTTCAGAACAACAGGGACCAATATGAAGTTTTTCAGAAATAAATGGACTTGTTTGTAGTTTTTTAGAACATCAGTGCCTAAACTACAATTTTATAGAATTCTGGTCAATAATGACGCCACTTCGTCTTCTCCTCCGCACTCATTCGATGACTTTTGGGGGTCTTCCGATGCTCTAGAAATTATGAAAAAAATATACAATGAATCCTTTGAAATAAGCCCTTTCCAGTGGTATACCTAGAAATCGAATTTGAGACAAACATTTCGATCAAAAACAGAGAAATTTGTGAAAAATCCCCTACACACCAAACTAGTCTTTAGTCTCTAGTTTCTGATATCACTTGTTGGGATTTGAAAGCTCTTTTATTTAACATAAGAGCAAAATTAAAATAAGAAGAGTAACTCTCACACCTGACTCTTACAAAAAAAAATCTTTTTTTAACACTCGTACTCTTGTGTTATGCTATCCATCTCTGTATGCTTGGGATGATTTACAATTGATGTTAGAACCTCTATTTTTAATAAAATCAACCACCATTTCAGCCTCTCTCCATTTAATATGTTCATCATAGGTATGAAATCTTTTCCACCAAGGTTTCTTTTTGTCAAAATAGTGGCTTCGAGAAAAGTGGCTGGAACATAACAATTTTGACCCGTGATGGAAGCTTATCGGATGAGACGTGGAATTTCACACAAGGATTCAAACCTTTGCACACTTAAAATATCGTTATTATTTCACGATTGACCTTCCCCACGTGGACAACGATGGTCAATAAATCCTTTATTAATCTAAGAATTAAATAATGAAAAAGAAAATTAAAATGCAAACACACTTATACAGAGTTATGTCAGTTAGGTGTTGTTTGTTTTTTTAAAGTCAAAATGTCTGCAGTCTACGGACCACATCTGCAAGCCTCTGCAGCAAAAGAGGTGGACCAAATGTTTGTAGTCTGCAATAAGAAGACTGTTTGTTTTTAACATCTGCGGTTGTTAAAATAAATTAAATTTTTAAACTTAATTTCATGTCATAAACATTAAAAATGCATTTTTAATAAAAAAACAAGAAAGAAAAAAGAAACTGCACGATGGCCCATGTTTTTTTTTTTTTTTTTTTTGTTTAGGTTAAAATGAGGTCTGAGGACCTTTGAAGACAGTGGCCTATGTTTGCGCCAGGAAGACCTCATGCAGACGTTTTCTGATCTGCACACTTCCAAAAAACAAACAATCTGTGAAGGCATATGTCTACGCGTTGTCTGCACGGTGCAGACAAAAGTGGCTGCACAGATCTTCACACAAAAAACAAACAGCCCTTACTCTTTGCAACTACACACCCCAAAAACAAAATAGTATTATATTGATAGTACCTTCATTCTTATATATAAATCTAATAATTCACATCATAAATCGGATACGGATAGAGACAAATTTAGTGCCGATCTCAATTATGACAAGGACCTGTGTGTGGTAAGCATAAATACTATTGAAATGTTTTATTTTCTTTTCGGGAAGTCTTTGTTTTTGTTTGTTTTTCACTGATATCCATTGAGTGCTTCTGTTGCAGTATGTACTATGTAATGATGTTGTGAACATTTTTCTAGGAACTTTTTTGTTTGTTGAACATTTTCCTTCTAGATGCACAACTTCTCATGAAAAGTTTCTGTTGATTCGATCATAAGAGACAAGAAGTATGATTTGATCGAACATCTGGAATGAAGACAGAGGATGATAGGAAGATATCACAAACTATTATGTATGTCCCATTTCATTTCTATGAACAATGATTTGAATCATAAGAGTGAAGCTACACATCTCTCTGGTTATTTTCTAAATCAGTATATGAAACCAGGGATATTTCGTTTCTTGATGTCCCGATGGCACACATTGCTTGATACACTTGAAGCATGTTTGTTGCCTCATCTTCACATGGATGAATACAATTTTTTGCTATTTTTAGTATTTCATATATTTCCTCATCGAATCCTTGTCCCATTAAGCATTCATCAATCAGATCAAAGTCCACACCCCACACATAATCTGTTAGGGAGTTGATCCATGTCGATGGTTCTCTACTAGTAACCAACTCAAGCAACAAAATTCCAAAGCTATAAACATCATCTTTATAGGGACTAGAATCTGGAACTATAAAATTGCAATCACTTAAAGGGGTGTCACTTGTATCTATCAAGATTATGGCGTTGCCAAAATTTGAGATCTTGGGTTCAAACTTGTCATCTAATAAGATACATTTTGAGTTGATTTTGAGATGGAGGACATTGTTGTGATGCAGCCATGCAATCCCTTTTGCCACCCCTACCGCAATCTTTAACCTTAAAGTCCATCCCATCTTCATGGCTTCTTGGTGTGACCTACCATATAGCCATTGATGGAGGGTTCCATTACTCATATATTTGTATACTAGAAATTTCCTCTCCATTTCAAAGCAAAATCCTAGCATTTGTACTAAGTTTGTGTGACTCAATCTTCCTAAAATTTCAATTTCTGACAAAAACTCTTTCTCAAAGCTCTCAAACCTATGGAGCCTCTTGATTGCAACTAGCAAGCCTTTTGTGTTGGAACTTTATATATATAAAGGATTTGCAAGTTGGCAATTTCCTTTGTATCCCACATTGGTGGGGAGAAGAAACTTTTGGGGGTTTATAAGCCTATTCTCTTGGTAAGCCTTCAAAGGCTTTAGTGGATCAAAGGAATGGGCCAAGCCCACGCGCGCGCCTAGCCTAGCCTAGCACTAGCCGACGCCGCGAGTGCGCGAAATGGCGCGATTTAGGCGCACTTTGCACTTCGCACGACGCATCGGTCGCTGGGAGCTGAGGAGCTTTTGTTTTTGGTGAGTTCGGGTCAAGCCGATTTGACCGACCCGGTCAAATGGTTGACCAGCGTTGACTTCGTAATGGATAAGTCATCGGGGCATTCTAGAAGGATAAGGAAAACGTCGCCCTAGGGTTTTTTGGGGCCGGCCTATGGGGGCCCGGTTTATGCCTTCTAGGGTTTCGATACCTATAAATACAGCCCTCTAGGAGCCATTCAGAAAACACACGAATTCTCAAAGCTCTCTCCCTCTCTCTGCGTTTTTTCTTCTAGTTTCCGAGTAGTCGCTTTGTGTTTGTCGATTTCCAGTGCTGTTGGAATATCGATCTAGCTGCATTAAATCCTGGGGTTTTACTCTGTTGCTTACAGCCAATACAAGCGAAGTAAAAACCTTTAAGGACAGGAATCTGATCCGTGCAGTTGCTTCAAGATCAAGTCAGCAATCAACAGGTCGGTTTTATTTTCTGTCTTGTGTTTATTCGTCCAATAACAGGACAGTCTTCTTCTACCTTTCTTATAATCGGATCTAATCGAGAAGGATAGATCTGGTTTTGGACGAAACTCGGTAATATAATAATAATTGAATTTATTATTCGCAACTAATCGACATATAATTCACAATATTATTTGTCGGTTTCCTTGCGTGTCTTTTGATTTACAACAATCTTAAAGGTTTTTAGGTACTTATTGTGATCAATCAACAGACTAATGGACTCTACTGCTAGCCTCCACTTCATGAACCAAGAGTTTGCCAAACTTGACCAATTCGATGGTCAGAACTACACTCGTTGGGCCGAAAAGGTCAAGTTCATGCTTCATGTCTTGAAGCTCTCCTTTTTGTTGGACCCAAAACTGGCACCAATTCCCGATGATCCCATTCCAAAGGAAGGGGAATCTGTGGACCCAGCGGTCATTGCAGAATTGGAAAAACAAAGGATTCTGCGTAGAGAATCCGAGGAATTGTGTGTGGGTCACATCAAGAATTCCCTATCTGATCGGCTCTATGATCTTTACTCGCCGGTCAAAGATCCTAAAGAGCTATGGAGTGCGTTGGAACTCAAGTATAAGGCACACGAAGAAGGTACTAATAAGTACCTTGTGTCCAAGTACCTTGAGTTTCAAATGGCTGATGACAAACCAATTATGGAGCAAGTGCATGAACTCCAAGTCATGGTCAACAAGTTGAACGCACTCACCATCTCTCTTCCAGAACTCTTTCAGGTTGGTGCGATAATCGCAAAACTGCCACCCTCGTGGAAAGATTTCTCTAAGAGAATGATGCACAAATCTGAGGACTACTCCTTGGATGATCTGATGAAACACCTCCGCATTGAGGAGGAAACTCGCATCAGGGACAAGCGAGGTAAAGTTGGACAAAGTGTGCATCATGTGTCAGGTGGGAATTCTAGCCACAAAGGCAAATCTGGGGGACAGAACAAGAAGAACTTTGGGCCCAAGAAACAAAGCTTCAAGAAACCGGGTCATCAAAATCCTAACTCAAAGCCAAAAAGGGCCGGTCCTTGCCACGTCTGCGGAGAGATTGGGCACTATGCGAGAGAATGCAAAGATCGCAAATCCATACCGGTTGCACATGCAGTCGAGAAAGTTACTGAAATGGTGGCTAGTGTGAACCTTGGAGAGATTTTCATGATCTCCTCTCTTACTCGAGCAATCTGTGCTCGAGGTTGGTTCGTAGACACTGGAGCCACTGTGCATGTTTGTGGGCAACGAGAGAGCTTTCGCACCTACCAACCCATGCCTCATGGGACGGTTGTCGTCTGTGCTGATGGCCATAGAGCTGAAGTTCTAGGAAGGGGTGACGTTCGTTTGAAGTTCACACGTGGTGAATGGGTGACTCTTCGAGATGTTCTTCATGTTCCTACCATCTCGAAGGGTTTGGTTTCTGCGGACAAGTTTGACAAGGCTGGGTTCAAGATGGTGCTTGAGAGGCAAAATTGTGATCACTAAAGGCAGAAGACATGTTGGGAGGGCGAACAATACTTCGGGAATGTATCGCTTGTGTCTTAGTGATGAGGGTAATGTGAGTGGTCCTAGTGTTGAGTATGGTGTTTCTAGTGTTGCTAGGGTGTCGAGTGTTGGTAATGATGTAATTGATGGATTGGTTGCTAATGTGAATGAAGTGAACTTTTCTGGTTATATTGTTTGTTCAATTTCTTTATGGCATAAACGTTTAGCTCACACTAATGTTAAAAACATTGAAAAAATGCAAACTAAAGGTATGTTAAAATATGACTCAAAAGATTTTGAAAAATGTGAAACATGTGTAAAATCAAAGTTCACAAAGAAACCATTTCCATCAGTTAAGAGAAACACATCTTTACTTGAGTTGATTCATTCTGATATATGTGAGTTAAATGGAATCCTTACTCGAGGAGGAAAAAGGTATTTCATCACATTCTGTGATGACTTCAGTAGATATCTACATGTTTATTTGCTGAGATCAAAAGATGAAGCTTTTGATGCATTTAAACGATATAAGGCTGAGGTCGAAAATCAACTTGAAAGACACATCAAAATTCTTCGCTCGGACAGAGGCGGAGAATATTTCAACCAAGAGTTTGACACATTCTGCGAAGAGAATGGAATCAAACATGAGAGAACATCACCATACACCCCTCAACAGAATGGTTTGGCTGAAAGAAAGAACCGAACTCTTTGTGAGATGGTCAACTGTATGTTGAACCAATCGGGTCAACCAAACAATCTGTGGGGGGAAGCACTATTGACTGCTTGTTATGTTCATAACAGGATCACTAGTCGTGTGATTCCTACAAGCCCTTATGAGTTGTGGAAAGGTAGAAAGCCTAACCTAGACTATTTGAAAGTGTGGGGGTGTGTTGCTTATTATCGGACTCCCGATCCTAAGCGAACCAAATTGGGAGCACGAGCTAATAAGAGTATATTTATTGGATATGCTCAAAATAGCAAGGCTTACCGATTACTAGATATTGATTCTGGTGTTGTTGTGGAATCCAGAGATGTGGAATTCTTTGAGGACAAGTTTTCTAAGGATGAAGAAAACTCTAGTCATACAACACTTACAAGTACCTCTCAAGAAATACTCCCACCTCCTCCCAGTGTGGAGGAACCAAGGAGAAGTACTAGGGCTAGAATTGAGAAAACCTTTGGAGATGATTTCTATTCTTATTTGGTCGAAGGAACACAAAAGAAAGTGACGAGAGAGGTCATCTTTTCAATTAATTTGGATGATGATCCTAAGACATTTACTGAAGCCATGACGTCTCGGGATGCTCCTCTGTGGAAGGAAGCAATCAATGACGAAATGGATTCAATTATGGGTAATGGAACTTGGGAGTTAGCTGATCTACCCAAGGGGAGAAGACCCATAGGATCCAAATGGATATTCAAGAAGAAATATCATCCTGATGGATCCATATCTGCTTATAAAGCAAGGTTGGTTGCAAAGGGCTATAGGCAGCGAGAAGGGATCGATTATTTTGATACCTATGCCCCAGTTGCTAGAATTAGTTCAATTAGGACTCTCATAGCAATATCAGCTTTGAAGGGATTGTATATTCATCAAATGGATGTGAAGACAGCCTTTCTGAATGGTTATCTCAAAGAGGAGATTTACCTGGAGCAACCTGAAGGTTTCGTAATACCTGGACAAGAAAACAAAGTATGTAGACTTGTTAAGTCTTTGTACGGGTTGAAACAAGCTCCTAAACAGTGGCATGAGAGATTTGACACCACTGTGACTGCCTTTGGTTTTCAGCACAATAGTGCTGATAGATGTATTTACTCTAAACATACATCTGATTACATAGTAGTTATATGTCTTTATGTTGATGATATGTTGATCATTGGCACTCACCTAGAAGGTATTCTTGAGACGAAGAAATACCTATCCTCGAACTTTAAGATGAAAGATCTTGGAGAAGTAGATACTATTCTTGGTATCAAGGTGAAGAGGACGGGTGGTCAGATTTCTCTGAGTCAATCTCATTACATAGAGAAAATTCTGACAAAGTTTCAACATTTGAACATTAAGGAATTTAACACTCCTTTTGATTCAAGTGTGAAACTTAAGGTGAATTCTGGTCGAGCTGTGGCCCAACTAGAATATGCTAGTGCAGTTGGGAGCATGATGTATGCTACTCACTGCACGCGACCTGACATCGCATTCGCTGTAAGCAAGTTGAGTCAGTATACAGTTAATCCAGGGACGGAGCACTGGAAAGCAGTGGGTAGAGTACTAGGATACCTGAAAAGGACAAGTACTTTTGAATTGACATATTCGTCATCTAATGGAATACTTGAAGGTTATTCTGATGCCAGCTGGATTGATCACACCAGTGATTCAAATCCACAAGTGGTTGGATTTATACTCTAGCTGGTGGTGCTATTTCTTGGGCGAGCAAGAAACAGACATGCATAGCTCATTCAACGATGGAAGCTGAGCTAATTGCCTTAGCAGCAGCAGGCAAAGAGGCAGAGTGGATTCGAGATCTACTTATGGATATACGTTTGTGGGATATTCCGATGCCTTCAATACCCATGTACTGTGACAGTGAGGCCACACTGTCTAAAGTATATAATGCGGTATATAATGGGAAGTCAAGACATGTAGGTCTGCGTCACAATTTTGTGAGACAACTAATTGAAAGTGGTACCATCAAGGTTGTCTATGTCAAGACAAGTAGGAACTTGGCAGATCCGTTCACCAAACCTCTGACGAGAGATTTGGTTACATCTACCACGAGAGTCATGGGTCTAAAACCACAATAGAATCGTTTAGTGATGGAAACCCAACTTGACATTAGTGCTCCTAATTTTCAAGTTTAAAGGGTAACAACGAAATCACTAACGATAGAAGGTACTATCATTCATGATAGATCCATGTGAGGTAGGATAGTGCGTCGTTGCCGAGAATGAGGTTGAGTTACGACTCTTAACGTAGTTTTGGAGACATCTAAGCAACGAAGATGTTGTAAAACTATGCCTATATGATCTAGAGGTGGTGCCGCCTCAAGTGAAGATTAGTGGTTTATCTTCTAAAGGGTCATGAAAAGGATTTATAGCGCATGGCCATAATAGCGCTCAGGGAGAACACAAATATGACTTGTGGTGTGTGGGGGTAAACCGGAGAGGTCATTAAGGTTCATGGTTTAAACCTATAAGGATACCATTGAATCGGTCTCTTCTTGTTTGTTCTCATTAAACTAGGGTTTAATCTTCGTGACACCCGAGTGACATCATCTGTCTGAGTGAAAGGAAACTTACCAACTTGGTGGGGGATTGTTGGAACTTTATATATATAAAGGATTTGCAAGTTGGCAATTTCCTTTGTATCCCACATTGGTGGGGAGAAGAAACTTTTGGGGGTTTATAAGCCTATTCCTTGGTAAGCCTTCAAAGGCTTTAGTGGATCAAAGGAATGGGCCAAGCCCACGCGCGCGCCTAGCCTAGCCTAGCACTAGCCGACGCCGCGAGTGCGCGAAATGGCGCGATTTAGGCGCACTTTGCACTTCGCACGACGCATCGGTCGCTGGGAGCTGAGGAGCTTTTGTTTTTGGTGAGTTCGGGTCAAGCCGATTTGACCGACCCGGTCAAATGGTTGACCGGCGTTGACTTCGTAATGGATAAGTCATCGGGGCATTCTAGAAGGATAAGGAAAACGTCGCCCTAGGGTTTTTTGGGGCCGGCCTATGGGGGCCCGGTTTATGCCTTCTAGGGTTTCGATACCTATAAATACAGCCCTCTAGGAGCCATTCAGAAAACACACGAATTCTCAAAGCTCTCTCCCTCTCTCTGCGTTTTTTCTTCTAGTTTCCGAGTAGTCGCTTTGTGTTTGTCGATTTCCAGTGCTGTTGGAATATCGATCTAGCTGCATTAAATCCTGGGGTTTTACTCTGTTGCTTACAGCCAATACAAGCGAAGTAAAAACCTTTAAGGACAGGAATCTGATCCGTGCAGTTGCTTCAAGATCAAGTCAGCAATCAACAGGTCGGTTTTATTTTCTGTCTTGTGTTTATTTCGTCCAATAACAGGACAGTCTTCTTCTACCTTTTTTATAATCGGATCTTATCGAGAAGGATAGATCTGGTTTGGACGAAACTCGGTAATATAATAATAATTGAATTTATTATTCGCAACTAATCGACATATAATTCACAATATTATTTGTCGGTTTCCTTGCGTGTCTTTTGATTTACAACATTTTGGACACTCTCCCTTGTACATGAGTCCCATGTTTCCGTATCCAATGACATTTTTGTTGTCAAAATCGTTGGTGGCCATTTCAAGTTCCATCAATCTAAATCGGCAGATAAACTTTTCCATTGCACTTACCTACATGTTAAACGAATAATCATTAATGAGTATATATCTTCCTTCTTTCTTGATCAACACAAAAGGGAGAGAGGATCTTACCTTCGTCTCCATGCTGCTAACATTCTCTGCAAATAAGACTTGGGGATTTCTTGGAATGAGGTGATGCGTCCTCCTTTCTCTTTTCTTGATCCAAAAAGGATAATATCTACTGGTTCTTATACGCAGTCTTGGCCAACATAAGAACATAAACAACATGCTCAATATTGTAGAAATAGGAAATCCGACTGCAAACCCTGGAAAAAAAAGATCATCATTGTCGTTGCTGCAGGCGTTCATCGGACCTCCACAAAGTCCTGAGTTGTTTGCGTAACTTTCGGCAGGGAAACTGGTATTGGAAAATACAGGCACGGCTCCTGACAATCTATTGTTAGCGACACTAAATTCCTTGATGCGTTCAAGTTTAGAAAACTCTGGAGGGATTTGGCCTGTTAGGTGGTTGTTATCAAGCATCAGAACATTGATCAAAGTACAATTGGCAATGCCAGGTGGAATTGGACCTGTGAGAGTGTTGTTGGAGAGATCGAGAGTTGTAATGAATGGTAAAACCTTTGATATGTTAGAAGGAATGGGTCCTGAAAGGTAGTTGTTGGACAGATTTAATCCTATCAAGCTGTCACAGTTTCTTATCCCCATTGGAAATGGTCCTCTGAGTCTCATGCCTGGTAGCCGAATATGGAAAACCTTGTTCTCAGTAGGGCGCCAGCATTCAACACCAGTAAACCTGCAGATGAAACCTGCGGAATTGTTGCTGAAATTCCAGTTAGAAAGAAAACCCGAAGGGTCTTCCAGCGATTCCTTGATAGATCTTAGGCAACTGATGTCTGATTCAGTGGCTTTGATTGTAGCAAAGCAAGTTAGCATGGTTAGCATCAGTACGCACAACCTAGGAATACAATTCCCTTCCATCTTTAACGTTAATCCGGTGTTGGATGATGACAAAGAGAATATCGCCATAGTTATATAATACGTGTGCTCAACAAGAAAAATAGGGTAATGGGAAAGCGTTTTATAAGTCAAAGGCACGTGTTGTCAAATCCCAGCCCTCAATTTTGAATTCTATATGCTAAATGCAAATTTTAATTCAAACACTCTTTTACAATAATAGCAATGCTAATTTTAATTGTCAACTACATTTTACGTGGAAGAAAAAAAAATTGTCACGTTATATATTTTCATGTTTCTAATTTTTTATACTCTCAATTACATTTTACCAATTATTTTTTATAATTTTCATTTTTTTTTTAAATATATATATCTTCTGTTTGGAAACATGGGTCTAATATAAAATGATAATTCATAAACAGATCCAAATTTACAAAATTCTCAACATCATATTATTTCAAGAATTAACAATGAAAATATCAAAGTCAATACTCATAACAAACAACTAAAAAACATAACCAACAATCTATCAAGCCATCCACAATCACTTCTATGTAACAAATCTTCTCGGCTTCATTGATCTTTGCCAATTATGTCAATGGGGTTAATACGATTTTTGTGCATCTCTTTGATAACTTTGTCCATTTTCTTTGCTTCCTATATTGATTATGGTCACATTAAGTTTATTGTAAAACTTCTCCAGTGTCTTTTTCGTGTCTTTAGCTGCCTCCATATAATATTAATTGGCACTTGTTTACATAAAACTGCTTGTATAAGGCTTAATAAATCACCCCACAGTTGTAATAGCAATGCACTTTCATGCTTAAAACATGAAAGTTTAATCCTCATTTCAGTGCTAAGTCTGCCATTTTGATGGCTTAAAAATCTGTCATTTCAAAGCCTTAAATTGTGTCATTTTCATGCTTAAAATCTGCAAGTTCAATGCTTGAAAGATGCACCAAAAAGCTAATAATTTACCAAGAAAGTACAAATTTTTTAAAAATCTGCAAATTTAACACTTAAAATGTAACGTCCCAAAAATCACGGTTGAAATTTTCTTTAAACATTACTAAAACCATATTTATAAAAGCCATGTCATATTTCATAACATACATTCAGAGTATTAATTCAAAACATATTCTCATTATCAAAGTAAAATATCTCAGGCTGTCTAATTAATGGTGTGTGTCATGCGATCATCCCAAGCTCTTCCCTCCGCTAGTGGAAGTACCTGAAACCAAAATTGAAAACCGTAAGCACGAAGCTTAGTGAGTTCTCCAACCTACCACATACCCTGCACAAACACATATAGCACATACCGGGCCACGCCCGCTATTTCGGGCCTCACCCCTACCTCGGGCCTTGCGCGCTACAACGGCCCCGCCGCTCCAGGCCCCGCCTGGCCTCGAGTCCCGCTCGGATATAGATCTGTTTCTTTTAGGCCGCGCCTGTCTCTGGTCCCCACCCGCTAACCACATAATACAAAATAGCATATAACACATAACTGAACATACCATACTGTATTCTTGTCCTAAGGCCTTGCCTGTCTTGGGCCTCGCCCCTATCCTGTTACTAGTGAGTCATGGAACCCCGTCCAAGCTCCTCCTGTAAGTGAGATACGGGCCCCCCGCCCACACTCACTCCATACCTATCTCGGGCCTTGCCCCTACTCTGTTACTAATGAGATATGGAGCACCATCCATACTCTACTATTGGTGAGATACGGGACCTCGCCCACACTCACCTCCCTACCAGGCACATACATGCATCACACAGACAACAAGTATACTCTATCATGTAAACCAATCCTTGGGCACCCGCCCGACATTGCCACTCATAACTACATGGACTGGCATTGTGGTCATAGACCCATTCACACAAAGGGAAACTCACATGCACTGTTTAACTTTGCTGGTAACCCTCTGGCTGCTGTCCGACAATTCTCTAAACTGCTGCTCCACTAGCTCCCCGAGCTACCAATATCATATATATATATATATATATATATATATATATATATATATATATATATATATATATATATATATATATATATATATATATATATACACACTAGTTTATAACCCGTGGAAATCACGGTTATAAAATTAATCAAACTTTTATAGTAAAAACACAAAATTATTTAATAAGTTATTTTAAATAAATTATTAATATAAGAGATATTTTTATTAGTTATGTGAAGTTATAATCATTGATTCAAATAAATATATAAAATTAATTTTTAATATATATTAGATATTTTTTATTTATGAATTAATGAAAACAATAATTTAAAATTTAAAATTTAAAATAGAATCACATTAATGAGGAGGTGTAATAAATTTAAAATGGAAAACTAATAGATTGACAAGTGGCAACACATTAATTAAAGTGTCTAATATGATGACATATGGCAAAATAGCTACTCTTTTATTAGTATATATATATATATATATATATATATATATATATATATATATATATATATATATATATATATCACTTAGAGGCAAACTGAACTCTAGAAGCCAACTAAGTCCACTCTTGACAAAGTCAAAGTCCTGGTCAAAGTCCACCTTCCTGACTGACTCTACTCGCCGAGTCAGTCCGTTGACTCGTCGAGTCCTTATACTCAGAAACTCTTACAGTACTCCTCAACTCGCCGAGTCACCCCGTTGACTCATCGAGTTCAATGATCTCTGAGTCCCATCCTGTCCAACTCACTGAGTCACCACTCAACTCACCGATCTAAGTCTTAACCAGAAAAGGTTGAGGTTTTGAGATCCAACTCATCGAGTCCAAGAACAGACTCGCCGAGTCCACGGAAATCTTCAACAGACTCGCCGAGTTGTTCTTCCAACTCGTTGAGTTCCTGCCAATCTGCATACAACTCGTCGAGTAGTTTCAGTTCTTAATCCATATAGTGGCTTTTCGAGCCATGCATGGGGCTCCAAACTGTATATCCACTCTTCTAAGGCCCATCCTTCACGTAAATTTGCAAACTTTACGTGAAACCAAGGAGCTATCGGATTAAAACTATCTACGACTAGGGTTTGAGACAAGCATGCTTCACCAACACACCAAAGGCTGGTACTTTATGGGTTTTTGGGCCAAGACAACTCTAGATCCAAAGTTCTCTTTGCTCACAAAGGCATAATACATGAATTGGCCTTGGAAAAGGCCCAAAATGATAAAAATCTAACTAGGAAAGGGAATCTAAATGAATAACAGCCAAGGTATGAGCTCCATACCTTCCAATGATCTGAAATAGCACACCAACTGAGAGCCCACTACCACTTCTTGAATCACCCAAGTTTCATTTCTTCCTTTTTGCTTCTAAGGGAAGGTAAAGGGAGTGATGGAGGCTGGGGTGAAGGCATGAAATGAGGCTTAAATAGGGCACCAAGCCTGGAAATCAGGGTTTCCCAACCCAGACCTGACTCGCCGAGTCAGTCCCTCCTACTCGCCGAGTCGGTAACTTAAATCCTGACACGGAACCAGCTCCAACTCGTTGAGTCTACCTATGGACTCGACGAGTTGACCCCTTTAACTTAGGGTTTTCCTTTCCTTTCTTGGTCTTTATGATTCTAAATGTTACATAAAATTTGCCTTTTTAAAGCCTTAAAAATTTGTCAACATAAATATCAACTAAAAATAGTAACAAGATGTTATAGGGGCGGATCAACCAATATAGGGCTCTAAGTAAACAAAAAAAATTGGGGTCCTTCAAGTAAGCAAAAGTTTCGAACTTTAGACCCTTAGTTTTATAAACCAGTGTTTTTACCACTAGGCCAAGCTTTAACTTGTTTTTGTAACCCTATATATATATATATATATATATATATATATATATATATATATATATATATATATATATATATATATATACACACACACACTTTAAAATTGGGGACCCTTCGCAATTGGAGGCCCTAAGCCCTTCCTTAGTTTTGCAAAGGGTAGAGTCGACCTTAAGGTGTTAAGATGTATTTACTATTTATTAGATTCTAGTCTTTCTACACTTATCTCATCTACTATAGAAATAATGATATCTTCAGGAGCCTATTTAAACATGGACTTCAACCTTCTTCTATTTTCCCAGTAAAGTAAACATGACACAACCAGACAAAAAATTGACTAAATTTATGAGTTCTTTTTGTTGGAATCCTAAGAACATTGGGTGTGGGCAACAAGATGCAACACCAAGTTGTGCCACCTCACATGCCACATAAGCAAATGGTGTTATAACACCAAGTAGGGAAAATGGGCAACAAGATGCAACACCAACTTTTTGAGAATAAATATGTTTTATTTTTGTTTTGAATTTGGTTTTTTTTTTCTTTTTCGTTTTTTTCGTTTTTTATGTTTTTTTTAATCGCTAAAATGAATATATTTTTATAAAACATAAAATTTTAAAAACAAAAAAGACATAATATTTAAAATCTAAAATTACGATTGCAATTAAAAAAACATAATTTTAAACCTAAAGTCATAACTAAAATATCATTCAAAATACTCAAAAAATCCTAAATAACCCAAATATTTCTTCCTAAGATTTTTTTGTAAATTTGGGTTTTTACCAAATAGATTTTGTTGAAGGTAGGATGAGTTGGGAAATTGCAGTGGTGGTGAAACATAATTGAAAATGGCGCCTTGATTTGTGGTGATCATTTAGACGATAAAAGGTTGAAATAATTTCATAACCCGAAAATCCGAGAGGCGAGGTTGTGTTTGGATTTGATGATAGAGGGGGTGTTTGGGTTTTGCTCCTTTTTTTTTTATTAAAAGAAAGTATAAAATATAGAGAGAATGAGAGAAATATGTAAAAAAATGAAATAAAAAGAAATTTTATATAAAGTAAAAAGGGTAAAAAATATTATTTAAAATATTGACCGTTGCAAACATTCAAATCCCAATGTATACATTTTCCCCGTTTCAATAAGTGGTAGAGGCACGAGAAGTGCAATAATGAGCAGAAACGAGGGGGGGTGTTCCCCCCGTCATAACGCCATTTTTGGCATCCAAGTTAGCCACCATAAGCACGATATGTGCCCACACCGAATACTCTAAGT